CWKYACWTMMMAWACRAAMMWARMACARWMCMATYMYAKTMTTCTTTTGYATAATTTCCTAGTTTATATTTAGCACATTGAAACCCAAATAGAGAGATTCTAAATCCTCTGTGAAGAAGAGTTCATAACAAAGGTGGGAGTTAGAGGAAGATGAATGGCRGGGATCCCTGTAGCATTGCAGGTGTGCCAGTAAGGCCACAGAGCAAAGGAAACATCACTGACCTCTTGAGACGGTACAGAACGTGCATCAGCTAACTGCTGAACCRCCATGTCAGCCTACTGTTCTGTAGCTTGCACTGACGTTATGAMAATGATTTCTTAACTTATACAGCTGTGTTCTGAAAAAATAACATTTTTCCCCTTCRTTGKTTTTTTTTTCTCCTTTCTGTTGTTGTTGTTGTGGCAGCATAGAGGGCATGGGATAGTTGTAGCAAATAAAGCATATGTTTGCTTTTGCCAAAGGTCAGTGATTGAGTGCATTTGCTGCAATGGTGGCAGATAGAGAAATACTGTAGGTTATGACTTAAAAGAATTAAAAAAAAAATTAAGAAGGTTACAGTGTAACTATTTTGGTACTAGCACCAGTTCATGCTGGCAGAAAAGACAATGGTTTATGGACTTGCATCCATTTTGTATTTTTGTAATATTTGTAAATATGAACTTTTTAAATTGTTGCAAATATGGTTTCTTTTGTAAAATGTTTTCAAAGTTTACATTAAATCCAAGCCTTTGTATATTTTAGAGCTGTGCAACACTTTAAGTCTTGTATTTATTTTTAGTAAAAACGGTGACAGTTTCATTGTGAACCCCTCTCAAAAAATGTGTTGGAAAAGTTTGATTACCTAGAAAGTGTGTATAGAAACTGCAAATAAACGTGACTGCAATTAAATCACAAGTTCTCTTTCCTTTCTTTTAATGAGATGTGAAGTCTAATCTGCAGACTACAAGTATGCTATTTCCCAAGGTCACCCTACACACTACAAACTTCAAACCTATTTATCATGGTTTCTCTTCAACTCAATTGTTTTCATAAACTGAGTAAGGGAAAACGACTATCCAGAGTGTCACTGACTTTCAGTGCCCACCAGTACAACTCTGCCAGATTTCAGTAATTGCTGAACACCCTATGGCTTTTACAGGTAAGAAAAGGCTAAGAGAAAGAAAGCAGGGATAAAAAATGGGGGAGAGACCACGACTGGAAGAGTGACCGCTACTTCAGCTGAAAAAGAAAACAAATTGCAATACTTCAGACTAAAGACAGAGATTTTCTCTTCCCCAAATTCTTACCCCTCCAGTTCGTGTCATTTATTTCTCCTCTGAAGTAAATAAAGTCCCCAAAATACATTGCAWTTCATCCCAAGTGTAGATACTGGGACCTAAAAATTGGAACCTAAAAATCTAGTATCTCTGCCAATCCCAAGGGTCCTTTCTACTCATTTTTATTTTAAATTTTCTCACTTCAGTGCTAGAAGGA